TTTTACCTTAAAATGGTTTTAAAAAAAATAAAACTGCTTTTATTCTAGCCAAAATAAAACAAATATGACTTTCTCCAGAAGAAAAAAAATATTATCAGAGATACTGAGAAAGTTTCCTTGCTCTGTTTAACATAATTTGTGAAATAATTAAAAAAGAAAAAAAAATTCAAAGGGGGGGCTAATAATTCTGACATCAACTGAATGTATAGATATATCCAGCGACCTTGTTGCTGTAAGGCAACAGTGCTAACCACTGAGCCACCATGTCACCAAAATAACCGTTATACAGAAAAATAAAAAACTTTTAATAAAATGACAAATGTTATAGGTTGCCAGCACCTGGTGTAATACGCAGGCCTTTGATATAGTCAAGAAAGGAATCCCAAGTCTTATAAAAGGAATGTAGTGAACTGGAGAGTAAGCATCTTAGCTTTTCAAGTCTGATACAACAAAAATAGTATCCACTTGTCTTGTGTAGGGTGGAGTGTGTTTATACTTTAGAAGTATGGCACGTCTGGCGAAAATTGTGGTAAAAGCCACAACGTTGCTGTCACAGACTGTCATTGCTGTGAAGATTTTGTTCAAATGTAAATAAAAGCTGAGAATTTTTTTTTTCTTACAGTAATACCTGTTGTGCATCTTTTGGGAAAAGCCTGTCATTTACAGTAAAAACAAAGACTTACTCGTTAAGTAAAAGTAGCTTTAAAGGGCACCTAGGTTACCCCTTTTTTCAGGATTAATATGAGTCTTTTGTGTCTCCAGAATGTGTCTGTAAGGTTTCAGCTCAAAACACCCATCAGATTTTTTATTATACCTTTTATAAGTTTCTATTTTATACATTTTTGCACCAGGTGGCGGTTTTGTTGTACTGCACCTTTAAGGCTAGTCCTCCCCGCCCACCGTTTCTACGTGCCTTTCAGTGTGCCTTAATCTCCTCCCTTGACTGCATCAGACAACAGACAGACATAAAGGAAGCAGATTTATGTAGCATTTGTGAGAAATACTACAGTAAGAACTTTACCAATGAGTATTTGATGCATTTGTTGTGTTAAGTTGCAACAATGAGTCACACACTATGTCGTTACAAAGTTCATGCACACACACACACACACACAGACAGACAGACAGCGAGCACATTTAGCTTTGCACTCTTTTTGCATACAAATGTGATAGGATACAGGCTAATCTCCACTGCTCTATGGATATCTGTTAGGTTAATGTACAAAATAAACCTGATTTAACCGGGATTGAAGCGTCTTCTCTTATAATTGTTCTAACACGCAGCTGTGGTGATGAGGTAAAGCTGAAGTAAATCGCTGTAATTCATTACACACATGCACTGTTTTGAAACATTTTAAACTTGTAAAACTCACTCTTGATCACATTTGATGATGATTGATGATCCTAGCGAACTGAACAGACCTTTTATTCCTGGTTGCTTTGCGCACGTCCTGTCTTGTTGATATGATTATATGCATTACTACGGAGACATGTTATAGTCAGAATTTGCCTGGGTTGTGAAAAAATTTGGGCTTAATTTTATGAATGTTTTATGCTTATAAACCAATTAAATCCTAATGAGTTCTTTATTACAACTTTATAGCTTATCAGTTGCTGTTTTTTTTTTAAGTTTAAGTTTTTAAAATATTATTATTTATGATAATTCATTCATATTCATATGATATTAATATTCATATGATTTCCCATAATTATTACTTGTTTATGTTATTTCAGTTGGTTTTATTGTCATGTAATGATATATAATGTCAATTATTATTGTTTTCTCAAGTTATTTATGTTCATGTTGGTAATTTCTTCTTGCTTACATTTTTTTATCGACAAATTAGATACTAATTGTTGACATTTTATGAGTTGGTTTGTTTATTATCTCATTACAATGCTTAGCAGATTCGATTTTAATTTCACAAGTTACTACATTGGAGTGTTTTTGTTTTGTGAGAAAATTTGTCAAGTTCATGTGTCGTTATTTGATAAATGAAGAGTACAGATGCAAAAATCTCTAAGCGCCATCTGTAATTTTTTTCTACAATGAGCATTTTTCTCAGCCTCTTATGTTTATATTCAGTTATTTCATGTTAAAAGTAATGAAAATAACCTATTATTTGCCATAATAGTGAATCTGAACTCTCATATGTTCTGTAAATAACATTTTGCCCGGTTTATATCTTTTAAAAAATATATTAAATGCTGAATATTTACATTTCATTAGTTCTTAAATAGTTTATCCTCTTAAAATGCTTATAAAACCACTAATAATTAAAATTGTAAGGCATAAAATAAATAATTTTAATTTTTATTTTTATTTATTTTATTTTTTTGCTTTGCCATAAGGTCTTCTAGACTACTAGATGTACATGAGGCCACTCTTTCTTTCTTTTCTGTGCTGCGTCCACAGCACAAAGCATGTTGGGAGTCCTGTCACAGCGTATCAACTCCAGCAAAATCAACCTAGCGCATACACGCACACACACATACACACACACACTTACTCACAGAGCCCACCGTACCCCCCCCCTTCCCACACACATACACATTCACAAACGCAGCACACACACACACACATCCTCTCATCCTGGTAGTCAGTGCTTCTCTTAATGTCACATTTCTACTGAGAGAAGTGGATGGAGGGAGGAATTAAAGAGAGATGGAGGGCGAAAAAGCTTTCCGTCTTCCCATCATGCCTCTGTGCGGCCTGACCTTGTTTTCCCCCCGTCCTCTCTCTCCCTCTCTTTCTCTTCCCTCTCTCTCTCTCATTCTCGTTTGTTTTGGTTTCTGCCCATTGGTGCAGCTAATAAAATAATGGTTGATACAATGCTTTAGTGGCCAGTGTGAAAGGTGATTGCTGCAGAACTCGGCAGACAATGAAAGATGTGCTCTGTTTAAGTGTGCAATAAGCAAAAAAAAAAAAAAAAAATTAAAAAACAAACTGAGGAGGGGAATATTTGCTGCAGTAAGAAACGGTGTAGTCAGAAGTGCTATATTTATTTAGTTCAATTACCTCAGACAAATTACCTTGAACAAATAGATTTTAATAGTTTCAATTCAAGTGATTATACTGCATGTTGAATCAGTAATGCTATATATATATATATATATATATATATATATATATATGTGTGTGTGTGTGTGTATATATATATATATATATATATGTATGTATGTATGTATGTATGTATGTATGTATGTATGTATATATGTATATAAATGTATATATACACACACACACACATATATATATATATATATATATATATATATATATATATATATATATATATATATATATATATATATATATATATATATATAATGTATGTATGTATGTATGTATGTATGTATGTATATATATATATATATATATATATATATATATATATATATATATATATATATGGTAGGGTGTCACAGTGTGTGTGTGTGTGTGTGTGTGTGTGTGTATATATATATATATATATATATATATATATATATATATATGGTAGGGTGTCACAGTGGTGCAGTGGGTAGCACGATTGCCTCACAGCAAAAAGGTTACTGGTTCGAGCCTCAGCTGGGTCAGTTGGCATTTCTGTGTGGAGCCTGTATGTTTTCCCTGTGTTGGTGTGGATTTCCTCCGGGTGCTCCAGTTTCCCCCACAAGTCCAAAGACATGTGCTATAGGTGAACTGAATAGCTAAATTGGCTGTAGTGTATGAGTGAATGCAAGAGTGTATGGGTGTTTCCCAGTGTTGGGTTGCAGCTGCAAGGGCTGTGTAAAACATATGCTGGATAAGTTGGTAGTTCATTCCGCTGTGGTAACCCCTGCTTAGTAAAGGGACTAAGCCGAAAAGAAAACAAATGAATGAATGTTCAAATGGTGAAATTAAGACAGATATACTAGTTTATTGGTATAAATATGCATATGCATATTTATTCTAAATATTATGTGAATATTTAACGTTTGGAAACAATAAAAAAAATAAATCAAACTCAAAACAATAAAAGCATGTCGCTTTTCAAATTAGAAAAAAAAAAAGATTTAAAGATTTTATTTGGACACACTTTTAAATCTCAGCTTGTTTGCAACAGGGCCATTTTTTGACATTTTTAAGTGACTTCTATTGGACCATTTAGCTTCTCCTATCATATCCATAATTTTGTTTTGTTGTTTTTTTGTTTATTATTTTTTATTATTTGTTTTATTATTTTATTTTTCTTTGTTTTAAGATTTGTAGTTTTTTATTATTATTAAAATGCATTGTTTTGTTTTTGTTTATTTGTTTTTATTTTTTATTTATTTTTTTATATTTTTATTCTATTTATTTTATTTTTTGTGTTGATCTGTGGTCACCACAGCGCAATGAACCACCAACTTATCCAGCATATGTTTTACACAGCAGATGTACTTCCAGCTGAAACCCATCTCTGGAAAACACCCATACACTTACACTCACACACTCATACACTACTGCCGATTTAGCTTACCCAATTCACCTATAGTGTATGTATTTGGACTTATGGGGAAACCGGAGCACCCGGAAGAAACTCACACGAACACGAGGAGAACCAGGGAATTTTTTTTTTTTTAGTTTTTACGTATTTTAAATAATTTTTATATAAATATTTTTGAGTTTTGCTTTTTGATTATTATTTTAGTTTTTATTTATTTATTTATTTATTTTGATAGTTTTTTTTGCGCTTTGGGTATTTATTTTATTTTTTTGTGTGATTGTTTTATTATTTTCTATTTTAATTTATTGTTGTTGTTTTTTTTTTTTAATTGATATTTATTTTATTTTATCATATTTTATATCCATTTTTATTTGTTATTTATTATTTTGTTTTGTTTTTTTGTTTATATATATATATATATATTTATTTTTTGTGCTATCTGTTTTTATATATTTTTGTGCTTTTTTTTGTTTTGTTATATATTGTTTATACATCCAGCATGTTATTACAATCTCCAGATTAACTTTTAATAACTTGTGTGTTTGGCAGGTCTCCTGTATGTCCGTCAGATTCCCCGTCTAAACTGTCTGACATCTGAAGTCCCCGACACAAAAGACCTGGCCTTCAAACTCAAGAGGAAGCAGTTCACCATAGAGGTGAGTCCATTATAATCAAATCACAATTGTACAAGTTACAATAATCTCCTTTCATATATTTTCTTTTCATATTTAATCTGGTTCTCTTCATTTATTGAAGTGTATTTTCATCTTTCTATTACATATTTGTGCTTCCCTTTATCTTAAAGGGAGAGTTCGCCCAAAAATGAAAATTGACATAATTTACTCAATCTTCCCTTATTCGAATATGAGTTTCTATTGAACACAAAAGAAGATATTTAGAAGAATGTTAGAAACTGAAAGCCATTGACTCCCAGTGTTTCCTACAATAAAAAGTCAAAGGCTACCGATTTCCAGCACTCTTTAAAATTTCTTCTTTTGTATTCATCAGAAGGAAATAAAAGTCTGATACCCTTCGAATGGGAGTAAACAGTGAGTATATTTTCATTTTAGGATTAACCGTCACTTTAAAGTCTGTTAGTTTTATTGGCGAGCAGGGCTAGGTGCTAAAACGACTCCTCATAATTGCTAATTTCATTTCCCTCCCGCTCGTCTCCTGAGCCACTGCACATATTATGAGGTCATGATTATGAATTGATGTCCGCATTAGCTGTGCTTCACTAGTTCCTGTTTATTTTCCAGAGCTATTGAGTGTCAATTTAAAAGGTTGAAACTATTGATTTTCAGCTGCACCTCTTCCCAGAATAACCTCAAACACTCTGGCGTCTCATAAATATAGTTCTTGTTTAATGTGTTAATTTCATTGGTAGTTTATATACTGCTTTGATGGTTTCACTCTGAAATCATGTACATGTTGCGTAGTCTTTGGGAAATATAACTACTGTAGGATGTTGGTTAAAATCAACACTGTAGAACTTACTGGTAGCAGTTCGCCAGTGACTTACTGTACATCAATTACAGCAAAAATACTGCTTACATTTGCATCACCATTTATCTTGCCATATATGTATTTACATTAATGTATATCTCTACAGTAATTTTCACAGTGTTTCTCAAACATGTTGTCAAGATTTTATTGATTAAATAAAACCTTCTTTAGGTATCTTATTTAATTATCTCTGCATCTTTGAATTGGTTTATACAGTCTGTTAAATTTATGTGCAGTGTTTAAGCAAGTAAATTATTTAATGTAATATTATTGCATTACAAGATTCACATTAGAATTGTCAAATACACAGTTCATATGCAGTGAACTATGGAGTATAATAAGAAGTAAAAACAGACCATTTTAGATGAATAAAGGTTTCCGAAAGGCACCATTTTAAACCATTTAAAGGGTCTTCTTTTGAACCATTTACCTTCTCTTATCTTGTGTTTGTCTTGTCTTTTTTGTTTTGTTTTATTTGAGTTGGTCTGTACCGACTGATTTGTTTGTTTGATTTATTTATTTATTTATTTTTATTTTTTGGTTTTGTTTTTATTTTTTATTGATTAAATTTATTATTTTTTTGGTTTTGTGCTTTATTTTTTGTATGTGTTTTAATTTATTTATTTATTATTTTATTTGCATTATTTGTTTTGTGCTTTATTTATTTATGTTAAGTACTTAGCCAAGTACATCATTTAATGTAACAACAGTTTTGTTTTGTTTTGTTTTGTTTTGTTTTGTTTTGTTTTGTTTTGTTTTGTTTTGTTTTGGTTTGGTTTGGTTTGGTTTGGTTTGAGTTGATGAATATTTTGTTTTGTTTTTATTTTATTTTATTTTTTATTATTTTATTATTTTTTTAAATATTTTTGTGCTTTGTTTTTGTATGTGTTTATATATATATATATATATATATATATATATATATATATATATATATATATATATATATATATATATATATATATATATATATATATATATATATTGTGCCTTATTTTTTTGCAGTGCTTAAGCAATTACATTATTTAATGTAACATTATTACATTACAAGTTTTGCATTGAAATTTTATTTGTCACATACACCGTTCAAATACAGTGAAATATAGTATAATAATAAGTGAAAACACAGACCATTTTAAATAAAGATTTAGATTAAAGGTTTCCTACAGGGCCATTTTTGTAACCTTTTTATATGACTTTTGAATCATTTACGCTCTCTTGTTTTGTTTTGCTTTGCTTTAGTTGGTTTGAGTAGGTCTAAAGACAATTTTTTCTGTGTTTTAATATTATTTTATTTTTTGTTTTGATTTTATTTAAAAAAAAAGTTTTTACTAATTTGAAGAAGTGTTTTGTTTTTTGCTTTGTTTTGTATTTGTTTTGTGTTTATTTATTTATGTGCAGTGCTTAAACAAGTACATTATTTAATGTAGTATTATTACATTACAAGTTTCACATTCAAATTTTATTTTAATGAAATAAATTATATAAATATAAAAATAAAAATAAATATAAATTTTACTGTTCAAATACGGTGAAAAGTAGTATAATAAGAAGTAAAAACACAGACCTTTTTAAATAGATGAATAAAGGTCATATAGTAAATAAGACCAATAAAATATAAATATTTCAAACTTTAAAATTTTAATTGAAAAAGGTAACTGTAATTGACTGACCTAAAAATGAACAGTAAACCTTTTCCACCGTTTTTCACCAAAAAACGTAATCTGATTACAGTAACTTGCTGCTTTGTAACTGATTATACCCAACGCTGGTCATGCATAATGTCATTATACAGTTTTTGGAAACCACATACACGCAAACACACGCACGCACGCACGCACACACACACTCAATTCCAGCCAGTAAGAACCTGTCCATCAAGTGTAGACGAGTGAAAGGGCCCAGGCTCTTACTGAAGCCCCATCATTGGCCCCCAATTAAGTTATCAGTGTTGAAGCTGTTAATAGTTAATCAGGAAGTCTATTGTGTGGTCTGGACCAGCAGTCTTTGTCTTTAAACACTCTCTGAGGCGCAGACCTCTCGTCCACTCCTCACTGGATTTATAAGCTCAATAAAAGTCAAGGTGGTTTCCTTCTCAATGGCCATTTAATGACTCTGAGTTTGTGGCACTGAGGTTTGTGTTGTAGCTGCCAGAAGAATTTAACAAAACTATTTTTTTTGTGGAATGCCGTGTACAATAACATCTTTTGACATGTCTTTATATATCAGCATATAAAATATATTAATCATTCTAGTTAGTTATGGTTAAGTGTAATGTGAAAGGGTGTTAATTGAAATGCTAAAGCATGGCTTTAAGACCAAAGTCATGTGTTTGTGTCATTATAATGTAACTCAGTTGGATTGAAAACGGTGTGATAAGTCAGCTTAAGTGTCTTTCAAGTGCAAAAAAAAAAAAATGTAAGAATAAAATTAACTGTTTTTTGAGTAAACAAAATAGTCAGTTAAAAATAAACATTAAAACCATGAAAGATCAGTAAAATGGAGAAACAATTTAAGAAAAAAGTGTAGTTTAACAAACTAAATCTCTAATCTCTTCCAAAATATATAGTAATTTTATTGTATTTTTTATTTTTTAATCAACAACTAAAGAAAATTACATATAATAAAGAGAGTAAAATGGAAAACAGTAAAAAGAAAAGTCTAGTTCTACAAACAAATTAAGCGACTCTTCTAAATGCACTTTTTTGAAGAAATGACAACTAAAAGTTAACATTGAAACAATTGTAAGATTTAAAATAAGATAACAAAAAACTTTTCAACAAACTAAATCAGTGACGGCCTCTTTTTTTTATGATTCTCAAGCAAAATGTCTCAAGTGATGACAAAACAGGTGATTTTGCTGACATTTGAAGATTTAAGGCTGAACTTGACATGAAATACCCTCCATCTACAGATATATCTTCTTACAGTGTTACAGCCTACATTATTTCTCTGTTGAAATCGGTATATCACAATAATTATCCTGAAGAAAGTTGCGCAATTGCTACCAGACTGCTGTTGTGTTTGCGATAAGGAAAAACAGTGGGCATTCCTTTTTTTCTGCCAACACAACACACATTGTAGTTGAAGTCATATTTATTAGCCCCCTTTTGATTATTATTATTTTTTTTTAATTTTTAAAATATTTCCTAACTGACGTTTAACAGAGCAAGAAAATGTTCAAATGTAATATTTTTTCATCTGGAGAAAGTCTTCTTTGATTTTTTTCAACTGGAATGAAAGCCATTATTATTTTTTTTAAATCATTTTAAGGACAGAACTTCTAACCCCTTTAAGCTAATTTGTTTTTCGATTGTCTACAGAACAAACCATCGTTATACAATAACATGCTTAATTACCATAACCTGTCTAGTTAACCTAATTACCCTAGTTAACCCTTTAAATGTCACTTTAATCTATATAGAAGTGTCTTGAAAAATATCTAATGAAATATTATTTACTGTCATCACGGCAAAGAGAAAATAAATCAGTAATTAGAAATGAGTTATTAAAACTATTATGTTTAGAAATGTGTTGAAGAAAATCTTCTCTCCGGTGAACAGAAATTGGGCGAAAATAAACAGAGCTATTAAATTTACATAATGAAATTATATACATTTAAAATAAAAAATATATATTACTTGGGGAAAAATACACAGGGGGCTAATAATTCTGACTTCAACTTTGTGTAAATATACTTTAAATATAATTTAAATTGAACATTTTCTATAGTAGTTTATATACATTATCATATGAAAATGTGTTTTGTTGGTTCTTTCAATATGACAGGTTAGATGACATCACAACAAGAGGCGTGGCCCATATGCAGATGAGAAATTTATGGGAAAAAAAGATGTGGGATTTCCCCCTCATACGATCTTAACAATCCTGCCTATAACCCAGAGACAAACCTTTCATAAATTATGTTAGAACAACACCTTTGTCACGCACACAAACAAATGTGCCGTGCTTGGTGTAAAAGAACTGCATGTCAATGAGTTTGGCCTGCGGGGAAGGAGAAATCGTGAGTGCGCTTCAACCACACGCATTGCAGAAAATTCAGTCATCATTCACGATCATGTCGACATAGTTTTGATGAGAGGGTTTGACAGAGAGATCATGTATATTTACACTGTCTCCATAGCAAGAA